AGAATAGCGCAGCTTTGAAAATGTAACCTGTAATAAAAAGAGAAAAAGAAATCTATATAAAACAGTATTTTATTATGGATGGGCGCCTCCATTTCTCGAGGAAAAATAGATTGGCTTTGATATAAAACAAATAGGCATTCATTACTGTCAACTCTACTGGTTAAATGAAAATTACCTAAAATTAATTATTTTTATGAGAAAAAAACCCCATCCTAATTGAAATCGAATTTATTGCTTAATTAAGTATTGCTGATACCTACAATGTAGCAGACCGTTTATTGTTATGAGAGTGATTTAAGTTTTTGTATTTTGATGACAGTAAAAATTCCTTATATATAATATATTGTTATAAAATTTATATTTCGTTTTTTTTCCCTACCCATGTTGGAAATTACACATTTAATTCCCATCCTATGGGCATTAAATGTGTATAACATATATGCCCATCCTGTTGTAATTTACTGTGCTTCATAAAAAATTTTAAGTGCAATACGAACACTGTCTTATTAATAAATTAAACAGTTCATTCAAACAGATACTTATTCTGTCAACTCTTTTTGTAGGAAAAGGAGGTAGGTGAAGCTCTTTACCTTATTTCTCTTCCCACATTCAAGTAATACAGATTACCCAAATTGAACGAAAATAGCCAGTCCTTAAAAACATTTTTGGTAAGTTAAATTTTCGAGCTATTTCTTTAAATAGCTTTCATCTCACCTAATTAAAAAGTCAAAAGTGTATTAACTATTCTCAAATTTGCACAATTAAGACAGAAATTCATCGGCTCTTCAATTATGCTTTGGGTTTCATCTCGTTTTAAATGTTTAGTTCAAAATGTGTAGATGCGCGATAGCAGTGGCAGGGCACTGGACTCACGATCGTGAGAACGGGAATTCGAATCCAGCCGGCCAAAGATTTCGCGTGTAGTAACTGGTGCGCGTTAAATCTGTCGGGTCGCAAAGTCCACCATGTTGCTATAACAAATTATACCTCTGGGAGATTAAACGTTCTCTGGTTTTGGTCAAAATTACGATCTGTGAGTGAATGTGTTTGCTCTATGAACGGGTGTGTGCAGAAATAGAATTCTTGGTCATAGATGGCGCCACTGGACAACAAGAACAATCGCACCCCTTGTCTTAATGGCTAGCGACAACAACAAAATTTTGAGCTTCTCATCAAAGCATACCTTAAACTCGTTTGCAAAATGACCTCCTCCCCCCACTTCATCACTAAGAGACTGGCATGACAAAATCTCTGAATTAATTGAGTCCCAAGGTCTTTATAGCGTTAAGAGACTAACTTACCATTGTGTATAAAGGAATCCAGGATTTAGGGAAAAGTTTGTTCAATGCATTATCCAACTTCTTCCTTAGTAAAAATTTTTTCGAAGTCACCAAGTGTCTCATCTGAAAGTATTATAAGTTTTTATAGTATTTTTTTAAAATTTATATCATATTCAAATTTAAAATTTTTCTCTATTTGAAAATGCAGGACATGTGAACAGAGACACAGTTATGTTTAGCACATCTTGATACATATTCGCGATCGCAACGCCATCTAGGGAGAAGACCGGTTCAATGTTTTGAATCTTCCCTTTCTTCCTCCTCCTAGTTGTATAGGGAACAAATATGATGTATAACTATACGATATCTTCTCCTTTCTTAATATTTTCATATTTACTTGTCAAAATTTCATATTCATACTTACTTGTTAATATTTTCATATTTACTTGTTTTTTATAATTTCCACGACGCTTTCTTTTAGATCCATATTCAATGTAGTTTTGAGTTCCATATAGTTTCCTATCTTAAAAGTTTTTAGTCTATTTGAAAATCAAGATAGAAACTAACGTACTTCCTTCTCCTATGACTCTCCACACGCTTCTGGTGAAAGCATGTAAAGTGTTGCCATAGGTAGAGAGTTCTGCTCTACGTCACTTGCCGTCCATTTCGATAGCCAATGAAAAGGAAAGCCTGTCTGTATGGACAGTCTACACAGACAATTAGAGTAAAAATATTTTTAAAAACTTTAGTAAAAAAAAAATTTTTTTTTCAATGTAGAATTGGATCATAAAAAAAATGTTGTCGAAAAATGGAAATTCCAAAAATAATCATACAAAGAAAAATTTTGAAAATTAATCTTGGACACATTATGATTTATTTAATGAATTTCGAAGATATATACTAATAGAAATATGCATTTATGAAAAAGGAAGTTTAGTGTGATAAACTTCGAAACAAGATTCGAGGCAAAGTCCTACCTCTCAATCTTTGCCCTAAATTTCAGTTTCTTTGCAAAATATTTACCTATGGATGGTGTTTTCAATATAAATGTAAACAACAACAATCTCCAGCTCTTGACCTGCTCTACTTCCGGTTATGAAGTATACAGCTGTTTACTGCAGCTTATTCTGCGAGGCGATATTTTTAAACAGATAATTCTGTTTTTAATTAACAAAACAATTTATATGATTTCTGAGCTCAAATCTGTCGTATTCCATACGATACTAGATATGAATTCTAATGAGTTTGAAGTGAAAATTTGTTTTAGTTATTTATAGATGTATTGTTAAAAAAGGTGACATAATTGCTAGATTAAGAAAGAATTCTTTTTTATTTTATTTTTTTTAGCAGTCCTGATTTAGCCTCTTATTTCTGTTTGCTCTTGTTGCAAGCCGCGTGCACGATCATACGTTAGTGAATGTAATGGCTCTTCGGTGTATATATATCTTTTTGAGTAACAAACCGCACACTTTGAAGAAAAATAATGTTCGCAAAATGTTGCAAAACATGACCAAAAATGAAAAAGGTGAAATTACCATGAGGATCAAGATTTTATACGCTCTCCTGACTAAATTTTATGGGCCACTAATTCCCAATTGCAACTACCCTCCACATTTCAATTGGTCACAAATCCAAAAAAAAAAAATGTATACCCCCCAACAAACATTAAGATTGACACTTAGTTCGTGAAAATCCGGTTAAGTTTTTCTGCTAATTTTTTTTCTGCCCACTGTACGTAAGTGCTATCCTGTATATTATCCAGTAGACAGCTAAATATCTGCAAATCATTATTTAACAATATGACCGTGCAAGGAATAAATACCATTTTTTAACAAGGCATTGGGAAAAAAATATTAAAAAAAGAGTTTTAATAAAATTATTTCTACCCTGTATGTTATCCAGTAGACATCTAGTTGTCTGCAAATCATTATTTAACAGTATGATCATGCAATGAATAAAATATAAGTATACAATTTTTTAACAGGGAATTGTAAAAAAATATTTAAAAAAAAAAGAGTTTATAAAATTACTTCATAAACTTATTTTGAAATATTTTTGATATTAAGCATAAAATTTACTGATTGCCAAAGCGGAGTGTTTTTCATTAAGAATGTTTTACAAGCATGATTTCTCCCCCCCCCCCCCCAAAAAAANAAAAAAAAAAATTTAAAAGCCCTGACTAAACAACGTAATTACCTCAACATAGTTGTACATAGCTAAATCACATATTGATTCTGCGTCTTGGTGTCGTCTTTCCGAAAACAAAGGAAGGACATTTTCTGCAAGAATAAAAAAAAATTTCAACTCAAGCTAAGAAATTTGTTTACATAATTAAAAAAATATAATAATAATTTCTTACTGGGTTCATAACTATAAGCTTCCAGCAGTTCAGCCAGTATTTCACAATCTTCAAATCCCTAATTTTCAGAAATTAATGAAAAGAATTTTCAAAAAAGCATTTAAATTACCATATTTATTCAATGCACACTAAAATGATTGATTAATGGTAGTGATAATCGAGAAAAATGTCTGTAAATATAATCCCTATTTTTTCACCAATGTCAGAATTTAAATACTTTGGTTAGTTGAGGATTTATAGGTCTGAAGTGTTAAGCTTGAATTAGAAGTTTATGTAAACATAATCTATATTATATAAAACGCTAATA